ATTGTGGTTTCTGTTTCAGTTCCCTTTAGCGCTTGTTGTGTTCAGTTGCGATTTTCGTGCTTGACCCTGGCTTTGTATCTGACTCCGTTTATCTCTCTATCCCTGTTTTGTCTTGTTTGCCGGCTTACTGACTACTGTGTACCAGACCTTGGCTATTTTTTGTTCTCGCTGTCTCTTTGTTCCCTTGACCTCGGCTTGTTCTTGACTCTGCCTATTCTCTGCTATATGACGAGTCCGGCCATTCTAAGGTCCGGTAAGTCGTATCTGCTCTATCTGTCGATTGTTGAACTAAATCCTGCGTGTAGGGGTAAACTACCGTGACAGGATCTACCTTTTGGCCACTCTTGTTAGGGGGCCTAAAAATTTTATTGCACCAGGGCACTGTCTGTATTAGTTCTGCCACTGTCTAGGCTTCTGTTGCCAGTTCTGACTCCTTGATGTCCTAAGTCAGGAGATCCTGCAGCTTGTTTCTAAAAAGCCTGGGTGCCAGAGGCCCTAATCCGCAAGTCCAAATGCAGGGTCCCAGAGGCCCTGCTGCCTGTATCCAGAAGGCCTCAGTCCCTGCTGCCTAAATCCAGAAGTCTGGAGTCACAGAGGCACTTTTCCCTTTATAAAGCAGGCCCATCTGTTGCCTTGTAGTGAGCTTTCTTGTTTTACATCTGTGTTATTAATTTGTGCTCTTGCAACTAATATACTCAGTTTTCCTTTTTCGTTGTTGTGAATTGGGTTTTATTTCATATTGCATTCCTGCTTATGGTGACCGCTGCTGTGGTCAGCATCCCTTCCCAATTAAACCCTGACACATAGATGGCATTTCAGCTTCCATGGATGCGTATGTTCTTTTAGTTAGTGGGAAAATTGTATTGTGGAAACAGTATCTGATTCCAAGTATGTTCTTTGCTCAACAGTGGAGTAAGTGACAGTGACAAAGTATTTAGAACACATTCTGAAAGAGGTTTTTTTTTTAGTTTGTTTATCTGAACTAAACCATCTACATCTTCAAAGACCTTCCCAGTACACAACAGTCAAGTCTTAATTCTATTTTGTGAACATGAGAATGTGTGCAAAAAGAAAGAAGCAACCAGTTAAAACTGATAATTGTAAAAATTCAAAGACACTAGAAGGCACATTCAAGAGAAAAACCGGGGATTCAGTCATTAATATCAATGCAAGGTTTCATTTCTGGGTGTATATGTATGAATATATGTGCCTATAGATGTCTGATATGTGTGGGGAAAGTTTTAAAGTATGTCTAACTGAGTTATTGTGTGTCATTTATATGTAGAAGGATATGGCCAGGTAGGGTGTGTCTAGGTTTGTCTACTAATAAATGCCTTTGAGATACTTTGAGTTTATAAGTGGGGCTTGGCACTTTGGTTGATGTGTAGAAAGCTCCCATTCATTGACAATTCCATATATGGTTGTGTCTATAACCATGGATGATTATAGGACACATTGGTGGACAATTATAATATTACAGGATACAAAGAGGCGGGCATTATATAATGATAGGGCTCACAGTGGGTATTCATAACATTACATGGCACACATTTGCATCGATACCTTCCAACATTTATTCATGGTGTAAGTATTGGAAGGCTATTTGTAAGCTCATAATATATTGAAAAACTTGTGACAGTGTAGAATCAGTACTTATGACCATGTTGAGAAGTCTGCTTGCACAGTTCTGCAGGAGTGAGGTAGGAGTCAGGAATTGTGCCGTGTCTTTGCAAGCCCGGCATAGGTAGATTTGGATATGGGCTGGTGGCCTGTGCTCTCAGTGCTCTCCAGGCCTCGAGTGCCCATTGTGGTATTTAAGGATTACCAGGCTTCCAGTCTACAATGTGTTTCTATGATGTCCAAGGAGAAGTATGCCAATGGCTGCCAGGTGAGATGAAACAAGTGATGATGACATTCATAACACATACATGTTGTCATTGGTGGCAATTAAGTTTTTTAGTCATGCACAGATCTCTGTGAATACTTCTTCATCTTGTGGAGTTGATAATGATGGAGATTGCAGGGATATATGATGACACACTGTGTAACTCCAGCAGTGCCCATCAGTCAAATCATCACTTTTGTACTTGACTTGTCCTCCAATTCATAGTGGCATTTCTGCCATAACTAGCTTAAGAACATTAGCCAATTTAAGTACAAACAGCAAAACAGCATGCTAGACTCTTCCTAATTGAATGAGTATTACATTGCAGATATCAGATGCAGATTCCATCTGAATACTGAAGCCAAATTGGCTTTTGATATTTAAAAAAAAAATGTACTACTGCTCCTAATCTCAAAAATCCACATCCTTCCTTACTATTCACATAAGTAGATGCTTCAGATTTTACTAAAAGTCTACCAATGTAGTCTGTCACTTTGGTATCAGGGTCAACCCATCCCCAGATCTGTTTCTCAAGCACACCATTTCTTACAAGCATACATGCTTCTCAAGCTTGGATGAGATCTACGACATATATTTACTATTTAAGTAAATGGAATAGTTCTTTTGGAGGATTTTATGCTAGAAGTATGTCATAACACATGGCTCCCATTAAAAAGCACATAATTGATGGGACTTTGTTTCTACTCTACTCTAATTCTATTTGATGAAAAATGTTATTTGCTTACATTTTGGAAGTCTCAGTCTCTCTTGTTAACGGATAAAAGTGAGTGATTGTTGATTGTGAGTGATTGTTTTGAAATGTGTATACCAACATTTAGACGATCTGCCCTTAATAAATTGGCACACTTAAAAGTTATAGTTTGCTGGCATTCTGTTTGTTTATGCACATATTTTTCTCTTTATTTTGCATCTTGTTATTTTATTGATTACGCTTTGATCCAGGATAATTGTTTGCATGGAGCAAAAACAAGATTTTCCTTTTTTTTCAGGCAGCCTTCTATTTAATATTGTTTTAATATATATTTTTTTGTAAGCAGATAAGATTTTTTTCACCAACTGGGAAACCTATTACAAAGGATTTTAGATGATTTGACAAGATTGATAATCTCAGTCACGGAGGTGGAACCATCAGTACAGAGACGATGGCGAGTGTAGAAAGTGAGTAAATCTGCCTTTTTTATTGCAAACAAGGAAAGCAGGAATCTAAATAGTTAGTAGAACATAATACCATTTTGCAGTCAGAATGGCCCCATTTGCAGCAGGATGATTTTGCCCCATTCAGTACTGGACTTTAGTAATTAACCCTGTATGACATATTGTTCAGGAGAGTGGCTTTGTGAGTTACAGCCAGGGAAGACTTGTTACAGATGCAAACCTTCACACCAGCACATAACTGAGCAGTTAGACTGCATGTGTATGATGTCCCTTTAACCCTATTGTTTTTTCTACCCCAACAATGTTTTAATGCCTTTAATTGAAATTACTTTTAGTCAAGTTCTTTCAACAAGCCTGTATAACATATATCATTTAATTTTACATCAATGTGTTGAAACTGTACAATAATAAGAAATGATAATTTGTGATTATATTACAGTTGTATAAATTATATTTTACACATTATGTTCACACTTATGTAATTTGCGATATCAAATATAGATAGATTATTTACAAATATCCATGAATATGTGCATTTAAAAACCAATTTATATGCTGTGCTATGGGAAGAGCAGGTGCCATACAGTCAGGCTTTAAGGAAATTAAAACATGCCCCACACAATTCATAGTTGAGAGAATAACCCACATACTTTTGGGTTTATTTTCTAAACATTGGGTTTTAGTCACAAATCAGATAATTGACTGCAAAATTGCAAAATGTTTGGTTTTTAATTCACAAAAAATAACACTGTGCTTTTTGGTGAATTGAAGATCAAGTTGCAGAATTCTGGCTCAAATATAAATGCAGGGACTGTAGCAAAGTAGGAATTTTATTCCAAAACACACTTTAGCCCAAACTATACAATTAAGTTTTCAATTCACTATTTATTAAATAAACCCAATGTTTCTTCAATAGATGACAAAAATGCAATACAATTTTTCTCTCTCTCTTTTTTTTTTTAACAGCAAGTTAGGTAGCAACGTATCGTCTTCTCTATGAAACTGACACATGATGTGAGTCGTGGTGTACATTGTATTAATATCTCGAGTACCGTGATTGAAAAAGTTAAAAGGGATTACTTAGCGTGTTAATTGTAGTGTATTGGTTATATTGTATTCAGAATAAAGGTCTTATACATGTAAGCGATTGCAAAAATATAAAAGAATTTCATTACTACTGTAGATTTCTCTGTCGATCCACATTATATGCACATTCTTGTACGCTCATGTACAAGGTTATGTAAATACACCCAGGACATTTCTTCCCCACCACATATAGAAGTGGGGGAGGAGAAGGAGGTGTTTGTAAAGCAAAATCAGACGTGATTATCTCGTCCAATCTGTTTTTTCTACCTGTCAATCTCAGCTCATTTAGACGCGTCTGGCTTCTCAAGTAGCTAATGCGCAGTCGCCAGTCAGTTAAAAAGGTCTTCGACGTTGAAAGAGGATTACCCTTCAATTCCTGCACGTTATTTATATTTACTATCGTCAGCTAGCTCTTGTCTTTTATCCCTCTTTTTGATTCATCTCACAGACATTCTGCTTACAGTCGCCATAACCGAGCTCATAGCTGTTATTTTGCCATGCCATCTTATTGGCAGAATTTATTTTCTTTATGCAATAGAGAATGCTTTACGGAATAATGTATCCGTCGATGGCTTTTAAAGTGGCCTTAACCATTTGAGTGGCCTTTTACATTTATACAGACATCTTTATGTGTATTCCACAGTTTGACGTAGATACAGTAGGTGGAAACATAGCAAAGATGTGACCCTGTTCAATCTAGTTTAGTTGCTTACACTATTACTTACTATTTAAATATTGCTCCCTTTCATGTCCATACTCTCGCTTATATGCTCTTAATTGCTTTCTTGTTAGATTACAGGTGTATTGAATTTCGAGTTTTTTTTTTTTTTTAAACTATATATATATTGGGTTTATGAATGGCATTAATATGGAGGAGATACCGTTTCAGAAAATTAAAACCAGAAGAAAGAAGTGCCTCTGCTCATCCGCCCCTCCATTGGATAGCATCGTATGCGAAGATGAATTTGATTGCAAAGAACTGGAATCCCTCTTTCAAAATTACAACCTCAAGCTGGAGCAAACTTCTACATTGAAGGCACTTGCCCTTCTGATCGTCATGACAGCGACTTTGACGCTCGTAGAGCTAATGTCTGGTTCTAATTTGACAATCTCCAAAGGCTCTCACCCAGTACACTGTATTATATTTGTTTCTCTTTTCATAGTCACCAATGTCAAGTACCTACAGGTCACTCAGCTGCAGCAAATAGTTAAACTTACCTTACTCTTCAGTTTTACTTTCTCTTTTCTCTGTTGTCCTTTCTCTCTGGGAACCTATGGCTTCGAATCTCCTGCTTCATCGGAGAACGGAATGTGGCAACTAATGCTTTTGACATTTGTGTCCTATGCCCTTCTTCCAGTAAGGACCCTCATGGCGATAGCTTTTGGTCTTACGGTCTCCATTTCACACATTATTGTTACAGCCTCGTCTGTCAACCCAAAAAGACAAAAGCTGTGGAAAACGGTAGGAGTATTTTATTCCCATCATTATTTTAAATGGTATTTTAACTAACGAATTGCAAATTCTAAATACACGTTTAAGCAAGCTGTAAACTGTAAATAAGCACTGCATAACTATTCTGGTCAGCTGAGAAATCATGACCATTGCAAAAAATATAAGAAATTACAAACTTAAAATACACTCAGATTAATAGACATATAAAAGAAAAAATGCACAAGACTGTACATGAACATAAAAGGCTTCAACTTTATTGTAGGGTTTAAAATAAATAATACATATTTCTTAAGAAGTCAAATACATTCTTCAACCTTTCATTAAACTTTAAAACCATGATATATCATTACAGTCAACCTTATCAGCCCGACTGTTACCAAAACTCCTCTATCTATCCCACACAGTGCCATACCCTTAACGCTAGCAACACATTCTAACAGGGTGGGACCCTTGTCTAGCTAAACTGTACAGAGCGAGTTGGGCCTCCCAGAGTTCTTTATACTTAAAGGGACACTATAGTCACCCAGAACACTTCAGCTCAATAAAGTGGCCTGGGTGTCAGGTCCCCCAGGTTTTAACCCTCCAGATGTAAACATAGCAGTTTCAGAGAAACTGATCTTTACATTGCAGGCGTAATCCAGCCTCTAGTGGCTGTCTTCCTGACAGCCGCTAAAGGCGCTTCTGCGACGCTGGATGCGAAAATCGCATTCAGCATGCAGAAAGTCCATAGGAAAGCATTCAGAAATGCTTTCCTATGGACTGTTTGAATGGGCATGCGCATTCTGCTCCACTCGGGAGCTGATGTCAGCGGGGGGGCGGAGGGGGGAGGTCACCGGCGCTGAGGGAGTCCGGTACTGGATGAAGGTAAGTGGCTGAAGGGGTTTTAACCACTTCAGCCCAGTGGAAAGGGGACCCTGAGGGTGGGGGGGTCTAAGGGTTATATAGTGTCAGGAAAACAAGTTTGTTTTCCTGATGCTATAGTGATCCTTTAATAATACCAATCTTGTTTTAACCTCACACCCAACATAGGAGGGAAAGCAGATTATTTTATTCTAAAACAGCAACAATAGCTGCCACCTATGAACTATTACTGTCCTCACTAAACTACTAACGCTATCCCTATGCACTGGATAATTATTACACTAGCTAAAGTGCCTGTGCTTCGAAATTCCATGCAAATACAGATGGCTGGTGTTAATGAATTTCGTTGGTACCTTTTTTCTATATCCATAGTTTTTGTAAAGTGCTGTGACATTGTTAGAAATATGAATTCTTTATTTTCTAAATACACTTGCATTTGGTGTTGATTGGTATAACAGACACATCACTCATCTTTTTAATACATATCTGTAATTACATGATTTAAATTGATTTCTATTTATTGAACTTGATGATTTAATTCACTTTTTATTTGAGGTAGATATTTCTTTGTGTTTATATTTGTTGTACTCAATGATTTAATTCACTTTGTATTTGAGGTAGATATTTCTTTGTGTTTCAAGATATATAAAAATATAATTAATATACTGATATGTATAATTAAGGGAAACATATATTTTTTAATGTTTGGCATGTGAAAACCAAAATGAAATAATCATTGAGAACAAAACCTTTGCTTAGGCACGAAACATGTTAATGTATTTTGCTTGTTCTGTCCATACTGCTGTGTCCCAACCTAATGTTGCAAATTTAACAACATAAAAGGGATTTGTACATTTCTAGCCAGTTGAAGTCAGTGATATTTTTTCTTTTTGCTGAGTTTGTGGGATGCATCACATCAGGAACAGAACTTGTGGCTGATTTTTGGTGGTTTTACAGTTAAGGGACACTATAGTCACACAGACCACTTCAGCTCAATGAAGTGGTCTGGGTGCCAGGTCCCTCAGATTTTAACCCTTCAGATACAAACTGCTATGTTTACATTTGGGGTTAAGCCAGCCTCTAGTGGCTGTCTTCTGGACAGCCACTAGAGGCGCATCTGCTATGCTGGAGGCAAATTATGCCTCCATCGCGCAGAGCGTCCATAGGAAAGCATTGAGAAATGCTATCCTATGGACACTGTGAATGCTCACGCCGCGCTTGCGCATTCGGCTCCACTGACGTCAGACGGGGAGCTGACGTCGGTGGGGGAGGGGAGGTTTTAACCCCTTCAGCACCACGGGAGGTGGACCCTGAGGGTGGGGGCACCCTCAGGGCACTATAGTGTCAGGAAAACCACTTTGTTTTCCTGACACTATAGTAATCCTTTAGTTCTAAAAATATTTGGATACACTGACACTATTTTCATAATTGTGTACACCACCGCAATGGATTTGGAATGAAATAACCAAGATGCTATTTGTTGGGGTCATAATAAACTGCTGGGCAAAGCGTTCCAGGCACCTCACTTTGGACCGAACGTCTGGGGAGAGCCTTTCAGTCATACACAGACAACGTGTTTCAAATTGGGCTACTACCAATGTATTAAGGCTCAGGCAAACATATTTATAGACAGAAGTTACAGCAAAAGTGACAAGATCATGACAACATGACAAGATCACTGTGACGGTAGTAATCAATATCTCTGTCAAGTATTCCCTTTTTCCCAATAGCCAAATAACGCCAATAATCCACAGAGCAGAATAACGCTGGTATCGCCAAAATAAGCCACACATGAGCCAAAGCTTAATGCTGGAACAAGACTGATTTATTCGAAGCAACAGGCATTCAATTTATACAGTACAAACTCTTCCTCTGAGCCAGGCCAGATAATTGAGTTTCAGCAACATACTAAACTCAATTATCTGCTGGCCACATAAATTACTATGTTTCACAATTTTTAGAATTATACTTTATGCACATCATAACAATATAACAATACTCACAATACTGTGAGCAACATATCCAAATTTCACAAAAATCCATTCGGTAGTTTTTGTGTTTGACTGGATCGCCATGTGGTTGTATCCGATCCAGAGTTCCACAGAATTGGTAGCAAGAGCCGGTCTCCATTCGGATGAATTTATACGAAAACCACCTGTGATGGAATAAAGCTGATTCGTGAAGAGTGCTCCCCTCGTTCGGCTCCCCTCGTTTACCTAGGAGCACTCAATTAACTTGCAGTTTTCGTATAGTTACCCAGTGTTCCATGTTCTAATTGCTACCCAGGGTGGTCTCTGTTCGGTAAACGAATGGTTTACCGAACCAATAAAATAAAACGAACAGTTTAGTGAACTTTTTTTTTTTTTTTTTATATATATTTTTTTTTTCAAATTTTCACAATTTACATGATGCAGTCAATTCCTCTATTGCAGCGTTTACATTTCTAATATGTTTCCATATATAAACAACATTTCCATTATATAACGAATTTAAATATTCATATCTATAATTCACATAAATTGCAAAAAGAGGTGAATAAAAAAGCCTAAAACATTCCATTCGCACATACATACAATCCCGGGGAACCATACCTACACTATCCAATTTTCCCATCCTTCACATAAGGTACGGTGTTACTAAAGTTCCTCGAGAATCGATATCACATTCGGGGAAGCTCATATCCTCAGAATTATAAGTTCTAATAATTAGTAATAAAATTATCAACCATTATTTCCCATTTGCTGTATTTCTTCAAACCTACAGAGTTGCCTAAAATTATTCCCTTTTCCATCTTACATTGATATATTACCTGTGTTTTAATTTCACTCCACTGTATTTCTTTTTTACTTTTCCAGTTTCTAGCCACCGCTAACTTTACTGCCATTAATATATGTATTATCAGCATTTGTTTCTCAAAAGACATAGAAGGCCATCCCAGATGTAACAAAAAACTTTGTGGTGTAAAGGGTATATTTAGCTGACATGAGTTATAAATCTGCTTGTATACCTCCTTCCATATTTTACTTAAAACTTTACAATACCACCAGGTATGGAGATAATCTCCTTTCCCATCTTCACAACGCCAACAAAAAGGACTCTGATCTACATACATTTTAGCCAGTTTTTCTGGGACCATATACCATCTATTTAGGAGTTTATAAAAATTCTCTACTATGTTCAAGCAATGTACCAATTTATTAACTCTCTCTATCGCGTTTGTCATATCTTGCTCGGAGATTACCATTTGTAGATCTTTTTCCCACTTAATCTTAGATTTCCAAAGAGGGACCTTCTGAGAAAGCTTTAAAAATTCATAACATCTAGAAATATGACCTTTAGTTCTATATGTTTCCATAATCTTCTTAATGTTACTTATATTTTTATTAAGCTGAATATCCAAGAATTTTGCCAAATAAAACTTAACTCTTAGATATGTGAATACCTCCTTACTTTCAATCCCGAATTCTACCTGTAACTGGCTAAATGACTTAAGATCCTTTATATCTATAATTTGTTGAATATGCGTAATACCTTTTTGTATCCAACCACTAATATTAATATCGTCAATATTATTAGTAATCACCTCCATGGGTAGGAAAGGGAATATTCTATATTCTATTTTATAATTTTTCTTAAATTTATACCAGAATCTCCATATACTATCTATGATTGTCGAATTTTCTGGATGAACCAAATTATTTTTATTTAAATTCCTCCTTGTTGTCCAAAACAGAGAAGATAGGCTGCTTGTCTCTACTAATGATTGCTCTATATGATGCCAAGATTGATCTTTTTGATCTACACTTAACGTATTAACGGTATGGGCCAACATACATGCATTATGGTATTCAATTATATTTGGGGCAGCAAGGCCTCCATCCTTTCTTTTCTTAGATATTAACTGTAAGCTTATTCTTGGTTTTTTACCTTTTCAAATAAATTTAGAAAAAGCTGACTGTATCATTTTTAACCAAGGGTTGGGAACTTGTATAGGTATCATTCTAAAGAGATAATTCCATTTAGGCAAAATATATGATCGAATAGTATTTATGCGGCCTATCCAAGAGATCTCCCTGCCGGCCCATTCTTTTAATACTTTATTAGTATTTTTTATAAGAGGAAGGAAGTTAACTTCAATAACTCTATTTATGTCTCTTGTTATTTTTATGCCAAGAAATGAGATATATTCCTTAACCCAGACAAAATCATAGGATATTTTAATAAAGTCCTTATCTTCCCTAGGTAAATTAGTTGTCATTATTGTGGTCTTATTAATATTTAATTTATAATTTGAGAATACACTATAATGGTCTGGTATTCTTATCAATTCCGGCAGTGATGATCTAGGATTCTGCATCATAAGCATGACATCATCAGCATATAGATTAATCTTATGTTCTAAATTATTAAGCCAAAACCCCTCAATCTTTCCGTTTTGTCTTATATCTTCTGCAAGAGGCTCAATAGTTAAAACATAAAGTAACGTGGAAAGAGGACATCCTTGCCTGGTTCCGTTTTTAATAGTGAACCAATCTGCCTCTTTCCCAGGGCCAATAG